CGCCGATGGACACCCCTTTCAGTGTGAAAGTGGACCTCAACTTTTGACCTTTGCATGTATAAGGACCATTGAGGTCTCGACCACTGATCTGACCTTTCACACAGAGGGTTGTCAGCATTCTCGATAAATTCTTTGTTTGAAACTGTTCAGATGTGAACCACATGTGCCGTCAATCAACGTCTCATTATCGTGCCTGGTGGGACCGGCTGGCAGTCGAGAATGTGGCCAAATAAAGCCACTGCCAAGATGGCGTCACTGGCTACGTTGCGCAGCGCACTACCGGTGACCTGTAATTTTGACCCCAAATTCAAGATGGCGACGGCTCCCGCGAAAGTCAGAAACCGCTTGGATCTCGCGTATTTTTCACTTTCAATGCTGCGGGTAGGAATCGGGCACCGTTTGTGTCCTTAAAAACCGATGGTTTTATGTTATTTTTTTTAATCTGCATATTTACTTGCTAGCTGTGTTATGTGTATAAGCAATCTGTTACGAAAAACACCACGAACACGGACTCAAGCACGACGTCCACTCACGTCTGTCAGCACGCTTACACGCACCTCCGGCGCTGAAGTTCCAACTTCTGGGTCCGCTACCTCTTGTAATACTTACCCATTTCTAATAACCAAATAACGGGTGTTAAGATGTTAGGGACGTAGAATGTATTCAAGTAGATCGCATACGTTGTTAACTCCTATAACTAGCCCAGTGCTCAATAACGTTACGAGAACACCGTCTTGTTTCTGGTCAGATCGCCTGGATTCGATAACGAACGACGGAATTTTCCAGGCTCGATTTTCTACTGTTCTGCCTACATAGAAATATAACGCTAGTAACACAAATCTCGAAACGCAAAAGAGTTGATTATTCGGGATGGAAGTACTTATTGAAAAGAAAAATTTGGTCGGGGTTTTCAGTTTTGCAAGGTATCAACAGTTTTGTAGTATAATGTTTTGTACTACAAAGTATTATGCAGCCAAGGAATCAAAAGCACAGGAAACAACTAACATAACAATATAACTAAATTATTGTGAACAAAGAATGACTTTGGTGTACAAAAGTATATGTACAACAAAAAAAATTGCCTATTAAAACTTGCTGACATCTTGCCCTTGGTGCACAAGAGATAACCTATGTTTTTAGATATTGTGCACTATTGAAGTACACAATATAAAGACAAGTAGAACCCATTACAATACACAATTTCTTCTGCTCTCTTACATAATGTGATGGTCTGAAGACACTATTTCTAAGCTAAATAGTTAATAAAGCACTAAATATCTAAGTTAGGATAGGAGAAGATAGTAAAGCAAATTCTTTTCTACCCTTGGTGTATGCAATGTTTAGGGGAAAGTTCTTCCCATAGGTCACCTCACCCACAGGCACCTCACCTCACCAGTCCCATAGCTGTCATTTGTCAGCCATAGGGCAATGTGGCTTTCCATATCTAGCAGGATATAAATTTCAACATATGCCCAAAATATAAATGCAATCATATCTCAAATCCCACCATACAGTGTAGAAGAGAGGAATCAAGTCATTGGTAACACAAGAACTGTAGAAGCTCAGTTTGGATTGATTGACAGTACAAGAGCGACATATGATCAAGGTGAAAAATGGAAAAATATATTTTTGTGCACATCTTGAGAAAGTTTTTTTGAGACGAAGAAATCTTACATGTCAGAGTACGAAGATTTGTTTACTTCACCATACAAAATATGACCAGTATACTAGTAATGTTGAGAGTAAAATTGCAACATACATAATCATTCTGTCAAGCATAATTTTCAGAATCAGTATTTGTAACGTCTTCTTGAATATTACTACATGTATTATTGTCGTCAAATAGCTGCACACTCTGATATACCACACATTGCAACGTTACAATACAAACTAGTCATGCTGTCACAATAACCGAGATCATTCTTTGTTGTACTTTGCGACTCATCATTCCACATCATTTATTTACAATTCTTGTGATGGTGAGTTTTTTCTACTCACAGTACTCATGTCATTTTAATACCAGACCTACCAACATGCATGTACATACATGCTTACATTGAAAATACTACAGTAAACTGTAAAGAAACATCAACGATCCAAAACAAATTATGGCAGTTGTTGCATGCGCAGTATAGGAAATATCTTCCAATCCACCACAGGTGTTACCAGTACATATGTGTTGCATTGCCTACACAAATTTCCCAGCACCAATGTCATCTTGACAAATGCACATCCTGCAAGTCCTGTGGGCAACCTGCAAGTGGTAAACAAGGTAAGGGAAGATAAGATTTTGTTTTGGACATAGTTCTGTACCAGCACACAGACTTGTTTTGCAAATGAGACTACAAGTATTTCCATTCTTGGAATGAGCAGGCCACAAAGATCATACATACATGTCATTAATGATAATAAATAAACTGAATCCCAATACAGATACAAATTAATATGAAAGTCTGAATAGAATTACATGTACATGAGTCTGTGGCTGCACATTGTTACCATAAAGTTTTACATACATCCTGCCCCCCCCTCATATCTACAACACAAAATGAGGAATTTTAGGTTCAAATGTCGACAAAATGTCGAGAACTAATGACATAGATCAAGGATATGAATTTATGAATTGAAAGCAACATTACAGTGCATCGACACACAACAACGACTCAATCGCGAATCTCCGCACACGAACGCCCCCCTCCCCAACCCCTACTGTATACTGGTATTCGCACTCCCGACGTGGCATTTCCAAACTTTAAAAAAGCGAACAATTTTTATGAGGCACCAATAGTAACTAAAAATAACATAAAATGATGCAAGAGGCTGTAACCTACCCAGGAAAATTATTTATTGTGTTTAGAAATGTTGCGTCTTGCTAATAAAAGCATTTTACGTCAACGAAAACTAGCCGCTGCCGTGTCAGTTTACCATTAAAAACAATGGTGGAAGGAAGCTCCGAGACGCAAAACGTCCCAATTTCTAAAAAGCGAACATTTTCTCCAGGTTGTTGCACACGTAAACAACATGGCGCTATCGATCAGTAACACTACAAACAACCACGGAAAATTGTTCAAAACTGCGACAAATTCCGGGAAAATACCAAGTTAGGCCGCTAAAATGAGTGCAGAAATTTGTAAATGTGTGTCTTACCTGCCTATATAGCGAGTATCGCGGCCGGAATATGTGATTTTTGGGAGGTTTTTCGAGCAAAAACACGGCCAAATATGGCTTCCCCAGGCCATGGCTACGTGGATATGACGTATTTTGACCTTTGAACTGGTCTTCAGACAGCAGTACAGCCCATAATATGCACAGATTCATGAGAAGCCAGTGGAAACTTGGCTTGGGTCTCAGCCGCGCGAAAATGACGTCATGGCGCGGGGCGCTCTCTGATTGGCTGGGGGCTTGTGGCTTTATTTGGCCACATTCTCGACTGGCTGGGGGGATAGGAAGTCTGCACATTGCATTTGGAGGGTACTTTAGTACGCGTTCACACTTCCGGGTACCGCGGGTTATTTTTATCTGGCTCGAACATCAAAAAGGGCGCATAGAAATTGTCCCGAAACGGTGTACACAATCTACGTTAGGTAATGTACAATCCCTATCACCTGGCGCTGAAACGTCGCTCATGACAGCACCGGGGTGAAAACATGACAACGAGAAATGACAATCATCACACAAGGTCTCTGCAATACGCTGGTCAACTATGCTGGACACTGAGCGAGGCGCTCTCGCTGCTACATCTGGAAACAATGAACACTGTCCCGGAAACGCCGGCAGGCCGGCCGTGTCTGAACAGGGCTGCTATTCACACTGATATCTAAACAAACACATGGCGGCACGACCTGGTGTAACAGTGCTAACTGACCATGCTAAATGGTCGTGCGACCTTTTAGTGTAATGGTTAGCGTTGGTGACCGCCAAGCGGACAACTCGGGTTCGATTACCGGTTGTGACATGCTCGCCCCTTTCGGTTTTTACAGTGGCGCCCGATGTGGGCCCTGTGAGTACTGGCACTGAGGATAAGTGTGGCAGCTCCAGGGATGTCGGACTCGGAAGATTCGAGGACGAATCTTGAAAGAAAAGGGGGAGTAGTGTAACAGTGCTAACTGACCATGCTAAATGGTCGTGCGACCTTTTAGTGTAATGGTTAGCGTTGGTGACCG